ATTCAGCATCCCTTCATGATAAAAACCCTCAACAAACTATGCATAGATGGAACATATCTAAATAATAAAAGCCTTATACAACAAACCCACAGCCAATATCATACTGAATGGGAAAAAATTGAAAGCAATCCCCCTAAGAACTAGAACAAGACAAAGATGTCTGCTTTTACCCTCCTATTCAACATAGTACTAGATGTCCTAGCCAGAGCATTCAGGCGAGATAAAGGTATAAGAGACATCCAAATTGGAAAAGAAGAAGTCAAATTATCTCTGTTTGCTGACAACATGATTTTATACCTTGAAACCCTAAAGAGTCCACCAAAAAACTCTTAAATTTGATAAATGAATTCAGTGAAGTTTCAGGACACAAATTCAATGTACAAAAATCAGTAGCATTTCTATACAGCAGTAACAGTCAAGCTGAGAACCAGATCAAAAAGCAAATAGCATTTACAATTGCTACAAAAAAACCCCAAAATACCTAGGAATATATTTAACCGAGGAGGTGAAAGATTTCTACAAAGAAAATTACAAAACATTGATGAAAGACATTGTAGATGACAGAAACAAATGGAAAAAGATCCCATGCTCATGGATCAGAATTAACATTGTTAATATGACTATACTGTTCTAAGCAATCTACAGATTCAGTGCAATCCCCATCAAAATATCAATGTCGTTTTTCACAGAATTAGAATAAACAATCCTAAAATTCATACAGAACCAAAAAAGAGCCTGAATAGCCAAAGCAATCCTAAGCAAAAAGAACAAAGCTTCACATTACCTGATCTCAAATTATCCTACAAGGCTATACTAGCCAAAACAACATAGTACTGCTATAAAAATAGACACATAGATCAATGGAACAGAAGAGAGAACCCAGAACTTATCTATAGCTAATTGACCTTTGACAAAGTCAACAAAAACATACACTGGGGAAAGCACACCCTTTGCAATAAATGGCGCTGGGAAAATTGGATTGCCATGTGAAGAATGAAAACGGGACCTCCATCTCTCACCATATATAAAAATCAACTCAATATAGGTCAAATATTTAACTGTAAGACCTGAAATTTTAAAAAATGCTAGAAGAAAACAATGTCCCTTGTGGACATTGTTTTAGGAAAAAATGCATGGCTAAGACCTCTAAAGCACAAGCAACAAAAACAAAAATAGACAAATGGGACTTAATTAAACTGGAAATCTTGTGCACAGCAAAAAAAAAATCAGAGTGAACAATCCACAGAATGGGAAAAAAATATTTATAAACTATGTATCTGGCAGGGAAGTGATACCCAGAATTTATAAGGAACTCAAACAGCTCAACAACAACAAAAAAA